TACTGCTTCTTGCATCATGTAATTTTATATATCAATTTGTTTTTATTTATGTATGCTTAGACAACCTTATGCACCATTCAGAAACTGGATTTCTCTTTTGAGATTCAAGGAACTGATGAGACAAAAACAATTCTAGGTATCTATTACGAGCAGTTACACCGTTGTTTTGAGCCTGTAGCTATGTTTTGCCATTTAGTCAATCTTAATAATTCATTATTTGTTCGCAGATTTTAAAGGAAATACTCTTGGAAGTATCACTGAAGGTTTTAATGGTTTTATTTTTCTTATTTTATTTTTTTGTTCTGTCTAATAAACATTTGCTGTTAAGTAGAGGAAAGGAATAGTAGATTTGAAAACAAGATCTCTAGAAAAAGTCAAGGCTAATCAATTACAGGGTGAAGTAAGGCAGGTTTTAGGTGGTCTCAGGTCAATTGAAGTGGCTATTTGAAAGGCAGCTGACATGAAAAAAAGGTATTCTGTCACCAAATCATCTTGCCTTGGGCTCAAAAGGTTACAAACTATTAAAAGCTTTCTGTGAAGAGGGAGGTATTTTCCAGGTTTTTCAATCCTTCTATAGATGAAACCACCATAACAGATAGTATTTTCAATGATTTCAATAGCAGAGATTTTTAGCCCTCTTCACCTTTCCTCACATCTACAAGGAGACAGGCAAGAATTCACATGCTGGATTTTAAGACTGCCTTCAAATTATTTCGGATGCTGACCAATATTCATCCACATGAAAGATTCTGTTCAGTTCCCATTCAATTAAAAACACACACAGTGTTCTGCTCTGCTAGTTCCCAGGTTTCAGCTGCTTTCCTGCCTTATCACAGGCAACTCTGGCTGATTAAGGAAACAGATGTTCATATTAAACATTTGGGACAAATATTATGATCCTCTGAGAGTCATAATGGAGGCTGAATGCAAGGCAGAGCATTCTGTTTCAAGTAAGAACATATATTTATTTTTCTTCTGCCTCACAAACTCCATCCTAATTATACCCAGGCACAAACACAGTAGCAGCAAAAGTTGGAGTTCCTGATTTGATCTGAACTTTTCAGTAGACAATATTCACTAAGAAAAAACACCTCAAAAACAACCCATAAAGGCATAATTTTCACTAGAATCAGGCTAGAGGGAGAGAAAACAACAGAATAAGAGATTTTGCTGTCTGACAAAACAGACTTGTACTTGTAGAATAAAAATGGGCTGACTACTGTGCAACAGCTCACACATGCCAGTTTGGTCAGCATGATGCACCCTGAGCCACTCAGGAGAGCAGCAGGGGACTCATGAATTTTCACTGCCTTCCCAAAGAGCCCATCTCAGCTAGGCTATTAAAGCCATTTTAACCATAATCTCACCATTAACTATCCACCCACACACCACCGACTACAGGTTCTCATGTGAGATGCACATGGATGAAATGAAACACAGCACTTAGCAAGAGCAGCTGCTTCTGTCAGTTTTCATTTCCAACACAGAGTATTTCTTAGAGTTTCTCTAAACAAGTGGTAGCAGAAAATGTATACATGGTGAAAGAATAAAAAGGCACTAAATATTATATTCATCTTTCAATCATATAGCAACACTTATAAGTTACACTTAGAGTACCATATATCATTTAAGCACTCCAAAAGTAGTAACCTCTATGTATATGTCTGTATTTTACATTCTTAAAGTGTTGTTTATGCATTCTGTATTTAAATTCTGATTTCATGGAGCATAACCCTGGAGCGGTTTCTCCCTGAGCTCCTGGAATTAATAGATTACAGGGTCAGGGAGATCTTATGGAAGTTTCATTATGCTCTTGGAGGAGCAAAATCAAATTTTGGTAAAAATTACAACCTCAGATCCATGTATACATCAGTCTAACTGTCGTCTGTTCCAGACAGTCATCTGTCTGCAAGAGACAAGAACACTGAAAATGAAAACCCGCAAATACAAATATACATTAAAGATGGCAAACAGTGTATCCAAATCACAAACAGACATTTCTCCCTCCATCAGACTCACTAGTTTCCATTCCTCTGTCCCATTTTCACTTTTTTCCCCTCCATTTTACCATTCTCCATTCCATTTTTCCTTCTCCAACATTTATCCCCTTCTGACTCAGCCTCTGCTGCTCCAGGCTTCCAAAGGCACCACCCACTGCTTTTTCTCTAACCAAAAGTCATTCAAGGCATTTGATTTTTCTGCTGCCTCAGTTATGAGCAGAGGAAACAGAGACTTCTGTCCTCCTTCCATCTGCTCTCCTGTCCAGCTCCCCAGTGGTTACCGAGCATTCTCTTGTCTGCAGTGGGAGCTGCAGGATAACTTTGGGCAGTCACTTCCCGCCAGCAATAGAACACCTCAAAGCTTTTGCTTCTAGGCAAAGCACATGGAATTTTTCTGGCTTAAACACATTTGAGTAGATTCCACACAAGCCAAAGGGCTTTTATTCACAGAAACAATTTCACGGTCAAGTTTGAAATTCTCACTTCAAATCCACAGATGCTAAAATTATCCTGCATATAACAATAGGAAATCTAGTAAGAACAAAACATATTTTGCATATAAAATGAAATAATAAAGACAGCTTCAAATTTTCTTTTCCTTACAAAAGGACTTCCCTTTTTCCTTATGCAAAATAAGATATTTGCAACCTGGCCTTGCGAAGATGACCCATATAGAGTTACATTTATATAGATAGTTAAACTTCGGGACAGGTGCATGACATGGAGGCCATACACCCTAATGTTTCGCACTTGGCAAAATTACAAGAGAGAAAAGCCTCAGACTGCTTTAACAAGAAATTAATGTTAATGGAGAACTGCAGAGCCCACCCTTCCAGTAACACAGAGATAGCTTTTATTCCTTGTAATCATTCTTAATTTTCTTTAAAGGTTTGGGAAATGATTATGCATGGAAAACTGTCATCTTGGCTGCTGCTTATCAGTAACTGTCAAAAGATCACATAGCTATGTGATCACAAACTATGATTTCACCTGCCAGGGTGCAAAGCTGCTAGCCATTTAGGGGCCCTTGTATATAAGCTGTATAAAAATATCCTTAAACTAATTAAAATAGTTAATGAAAAATTTACTACAAAATTATTATTTTATAATTATCTTAAATATCTTTTTCTGAATATGTTATTTGAAGAATAAGATGGAAGAATTGTACTGAATTAAGGAGAGTTGTACACAATAAAAATACAGCCCACCTGCAAAGCATCATCTCTGCTTGATTTTAAAGTGATCCATATAACAAAGCACTGATTTTTTAAGTAACACATATGATATATAAGACAATTGATTAATTCACAATTTTTTTGAAATCATAATACAAGAACCTTCAAGATGTGATTTAACAAAAGAGAGAGAATTTCAAGCTTGCAATCTCTTCCCCCTTACTCTCCTCAGAACACATTCTTGTGGAGTGAAAGGAAGAGATGATAAAGGAAAAGTGAGAAAACAGAGTTGTAAAACAGAGAGTTTGGAATTATAAAGTAACACAAGAAGAAAGAGAAGATGGAAAAATCAAAGAAACTATTTATTAAGAGATAAAGAAATGAAAATAAAACTTTGAAGATAAGAATTAATATTACAAAACCTATAGGTGGGAGAAAATGAAATGGCAAAGGGATGGAAAGGGAGGATGAAATAAAATTCTCATAAGCAATATGTACTCTGAAGGACTGTTGAGTGATGGGGAGACACAGAAAACTAAAATAGATATTAAAAGGCAAGTACATAATTCCCCTCACACTGTCTATTAATACTAAATAAAAATTGTATTTCAAAATACATACTGGCAATTACTTAGAAAATGTACACATAATATATCCTTGCAACATTGTTGCGTGTGCCTATAAATTTACTAGATGAATACTTATACTTCAAGTACATGGTTTTAAGCCCTCTCTCAGATAATTAAGATAGTAACTGTCACTGCACATATCTGAAATCTTGAGCTCCACTTAGTCTTAGCATTGTCATTAAGTGAGCCTAAAATAGCCAGTAAGAGGTGAGGGCATTTCACAGTAATGCCTTGTCCATACCCTATTTCCTACTGTAATGCATGTAAAACTAGTGGCCTGAATTCTGGGGAGTTAAAGGGTTATCTTTGTAAAGGCTAACTAGATTGGAATTTTCTTTCCTCATCCATCATGGAAATACCTAGAATAAACCCAGGAGCAGGAAAAGAAAGGTTATAAACATCCAAATGGTTCACTAAAACATTCAGAGTCTCCTTTTTGTGACAAATATTTCAAATTGAAAATTGTATATAGTATGCCACTGCACTCTTTGCAAAGGAATTTATCAAAACAAAGAGCTGAGGTGAGATATGACCCAGAAAATCAAACCAAAACAGCTTTGGTGAGACCTACCAAACTTGCAGCATAATAACAACTGCTTTGCTTAAAGTAGTACAATGACACACCAAAGAGTGTAATTTAAATTTCCACATTCATGAGGAATTATACTTGTTTCTGGTTGAAAAAAAAATCTTACTGTTTAAACACTTTCAAAGGGACAGTTCAAATCTTGATCACTCTTTTTTCACCATCAGTTAATTTCACACAGGAGAATTAAATAAATAGATTACAATATGTTGACTTGCATGGATTAACACTACTTCAAGAAGAAGTCGAGTTATTTCAAATTGTAATGGTTCACAAAGTAATTATCTTTTCTTCCTGCAATTTCAGGTCTTTAGGTAATTGATTTTGTCTGTAAATATATCTATCAGTCTTATTTTCCTTACTGTCTGGCATATTTATTTCCTGTTTACTCTCAGGGCCTGGAACTGACACTCTGGCCTCCCGGGAGTACAGTGGCCTGTGCTCAAGGACAGCTCTCTGATAAGGAACTAGCCCAAATTTACACTTCTCTGAAGGAAGAGCTATTCAAGAAAGAACCTTATGGATCTCGCATAAGGTTCTTCATCCAGGAGCTTCCTCAGGCCATGCCATTGACCCTTGTTCCCTGCCTTGCCTTTGTGTGCCCACACACCTTTGTGATCCAGAGCTGGCACTGCAGCCCTGGTGAGAGATCCCTGGGCTGTGTCTGACCCTCGCCACCATCACAGGTCCTGCAATGAAGAGAGAAAACAAAACCAATCAGACAAAATGCATGAACTCCATACAGGTGAAACAAACAGTTATTGCACATTTCTGAGTGTCATCTCCAGCACCACACTGTAAACCTGAGCTGTAAGATTCTCTGCATCACTTTTCATCTGGTGTTCCTTGCACTGTCTTTGCCTGCCTGTTTTCATTCAAACAGAAGCTGCTACAAGAAATTGCCAATGGCCAATTCTCCATTGCTTCTTTCCTTACAAATAGGCAGTGACACTCTTCCATCACAACACCTCAGAGCATCAGCTGGATATCCTTCTAGGTCACTGGAAGGATTACACCTGGGCAAGAAGAGACTGAGACACATCTGAGAGACTGTAAGACTGAGAGACACAGAGTCTGTGCAGCTATCTCCAGAACTAATCAAAACCCAAATACTTCCATAAATGAATAAGAGGGAAAACTGGAATGTTCTATGCATTTGGGATATTTACCACAGCTAGAAATGATATATTACAAAAAGCTTAGAGGACATAGTTTGCCGTTCCTGCTTGTTCTGACACTAGATTCATAGGAACGCCACACAACATACTAGTCTCACATTATGCATGATAACACGCACACACACATAAAATAGACCTTAGATTTTAATGGTGATATTAAAATTGGTGTTTGTAATTTCTTGTAGTAAACATGGTGCCCTTTATTGCCTTTCCTTCTGTATCCCTGATGGATTATCTCTGATATGAATCAGTGTTTGTTTAGGCAACTTGAGCTTTGTTGTGTTGCAGTGGCAGAACACAACAGGAAAAGGGGCGACAATAATGAATATACAACATCTACTCTTCAATTTGTAACATGGGTTTGAAGTTAATTTCTTAGAATGTTGCATATTTAGACATTATGCATAAAATTAAATAATACAACAAAGGATAAACTAAGAATAGTCACACCATAAGATAGAATCTGAAGGGACAGAATTCATTAAATCCAAATTTATGGACATAAGTTAATGTTGCTAGGTTGATATTTGCTCCACAATATCTAACATTTTCCAAATGTTCCCAGACCAATTGTTAACAACCTGCTGTACAAACAGTAATGTCAGTAGGCTGAGGAAGAAATAAAATGCTACAAATAAAATTTAAAGAAATTAATTCAATACCAATTCAACCACAAATATGCTTGCTTAGCCTAATGTTGCCATTATCTACCTATTTCATTAAAACCTGAGTGTTATGAACTGAAAATACTGAATGGGAATAAAAAGTAGATGTTTGATGGAATTAAGACTGAATTATTGCCTCCTTCAAGAAGAGTATACAAGAGACATGTTTCTATACTATTTTTTTTTAAAGGGTGACCTGTTGAGGTTCATAAAAACAGACAAAGGAAAGAACTTACACTGCCCTTTGCAGGCAGGGCCCCATTTTGTTTCCTTTAGGATCATTCAATTTCTTTTGCCTTGCTGTGGAAGTCAACCAGAGCTTCCCAGTTCTGTGACCATTCTGACGCACTACATGTGCTAGGGAACAGCAGAGCCACCGGCTCCACTTGTCCTGCCTGCCACAGGAGGAGCATCCCCTAGCTGGGGCTCCAGGCTCCCAGGAATGCAAGGTTGCACCAAGGACCATCCAAACCAGGACAGTGTTTGCAGCAGTCTCCATGACACAAGTGGAAAGAATGGGGATGTACATCTGGTAGCACTTTTTAATTGCCTTCCAGGTTCCAAACAGTACAAGGATTTCCTGAGCCAGATATATCTTTTAAACTATGCAGTCACCATCATCGTGTTTATCTCGTCACTGTGTTTATCTCGTCCAAAGATTTGTCCAGCCTTCCCTTGAGCCCCTGTGAGCTTTTAGCGCCTTCAGCAAACAAAGTATTGGTAGACACAGGTACCTCTACAAGCCCCTGTATGAAGAAGCTAATACACGCTTCCCAGATCTACACCCCTTCCTCAAGGGAAAGGTCTGAAGGCAAGAAAACTGAAAACTGAACTTGATTAAATAAAAAACTTGATGCTGAGAAAAGAGTACAAGAAGTTTACTTTGAGTTCTAAGTGTTAATTTGAAGGAACTTAGAAACAGGCCCTAAGTATTTTATCTTCTAAATTTTGTACCCACAAGGCCTAATACTTTTTTTATTGCTCTTGGTATTACTTAACAACTCAACTTCTTAGTCACAGGGAACTGTAACCACTCTCTTTTCACAGTAATTCTCAAGCTTTTTGGTATTTTAAATATTTTCTATAATTCAAATTAGTTTTCATTCCCTTCCTCCCCATTTTATACATTAAATGCGCTGTAAATTATGAGACTTTTATCTATTTTCTAAAATATATTTTTATTACCATAATTCGTACTATGGAAATCTTTGTCTTTTGCTTTTTTTTTCTTAGTAAAAGGTCTTTTCCCCTCCCAAGAGATAAGCCTTATCTGGTGATTCACTTCTGATTTGAACATTTTATGCTTACCCAGAACACGTGTATCATCTCTTTATGGACCTATTTGCCATGCAAAGCTATACATTCTCTTATTTTCCCCACCTTGCAGATGTTTCTGGAGCAAATTATATCCACTAATATTCTAATCATGTGAATTATCCCACTGAGTGTCTCATATGCCAATTGAGACACTGTTGTGATCATTAATTAAGATTTCAGCTCTTCCTGTTTATTTCCCTTCTCAAATTAGTGCAGAAACAATTAAAATGTTTAGTAGATTGACATTCTACTATTGTCTTTGTCCTCCTTGTGACCTTCTAAAAATCATCTCTAAACTCAAAAATTGTTAAACCATCTTCTCACAAATAATTGCATGTACACGTCTCTGAATATTTGGAATTTGTTTTGATCCTAGTTTAAACGCTTTGTCATTAGTGAGTGACCAAGACTGTGTCTCACAATGTTCATGACAGCAGAACTTTATTTTATGGGTCAATGGAATTCCAGGTTATGGAATTGTTCTACTGCTCAAAATAATTATAATATCAAGCTACTTTCCAGTTTCCTCTCCTATCCATGCACTCGCAAGTAAAAATACAGTACAAAACTTGCTAGCTGTTGATTTAATAAGGTTTCCTGTATAGACATCACTTAATTCTTAGGAATTAGGAAATACAACTTGGGAAATTCCTTTATGTACACCCATGAGCAGATATCTCTCACTGAATACATCTGCTTGAACTAAATTCAACTCCACTGTGACACGGTGCATGTTATGAGCTCTCACATATGCACCTGACAATTTTTTTAGCTGGCAGGTTGCTCTTTCTCAAGCTGAGAACTTTTAAACATGTTCCTCTACAGGAAGAGTGAGCGAAACAACAGTAAGAGCAGTCTGAAAAGGAAAGAACAATCAGAACTGCTGGAGCTGTCCCAGTTCAGTTCTGCTTACAGGCCTTGCATTGTGTGATGTTGCTGGCACAGTTTCCGCTCCAACACTGGGCAGTGTCCGGTTTATCTCGGCTGTTTGAGGGGCCTGGAAAGGCCCGAGGTGGCCTTGGGACAGCCTGCGTATCGAAGGACGAGAAGAGGCTTCAGTTCTTCTTTCGGTTTTTATGTTTATTAATTGTTTATCTAAAAGATTTTCTTTCAGCCGAACAGAGATCTGCTCAGCAGTCAGCCATGAGCGCACACTGTGCCGTCCTCCGGACCGCCACGTATCTTTATACCCATTGTTACGTGTACAATATTTATCATTTTTCCCCAATACCGTTTATTCTCATTGCTGGGTGCACTCTCAGTAATAACCAATCCAAAAGTGCCACCATGGCCAAAGAAGATGGAGGAGAAGAGGAAGAAGAAGGAGGACAGGACACACCCCAATTCCTCCATCTTACTCCTCTAAACCCCCCTGTACATAAATCCTAAACCCTGTGTCTCACCCTCTAATTAGCTAATCTTTTCGCCATTCACCCCGGTGAAGTCCTCTTATCTTCATAGGGGTGTTGTCTCCCGTGTAGGGTCAAAGTCCTGCCACCAGACACTTCTGGCAACATTCCAGGACTCCCGGGCCCCCCAAGGGTGGTCTCGGTGGCCCAGCATCTCAGGACTCAGATCCTGAGATCCCACAGGCCAGATTTCATCTTGATTACAAAGTCAAAAAATTTAAACCTCAGGCTCTGGTTGGAGCTTAAATTTCTACAGAAACACACCCAGAGAACCCAAGAAATTTGCTTAGTACTCTTTGAGTTGAATAACAGCAATCAGTGCTGTGGAAAGAATTACCATGCATCAAGGCTTACCATTAGATTACTACATTGTTTTGTAAGCACTGTGACAGCAATGTGAATATTATATTCTCAGCAAAAAAACTATTGCTTTATGTAAAGCTCTCTCCTGTATTTCTCCATGTGTGGCTTCAAACTTCAGATGTTAGTTAGCAGTTAGCCATTTCATTCAATTTTTTCCAAGCACAAGGTTTTAATTTGTTGTCTCCACCTAATATCAATTAATCATTCCCAATCTTAAGCCATACTTCTACAATTCTAAGGATTTTTAACCAGCATATTGAAGAGCAAGTGGATGAGAATCTAAAAAGTACCATCTTCTCAGTACCAAGGTGAAGTGAAATTCAACCAGCTGTTCATATATTTTGCCCTTTCTCTCATGTTTGTGTTACAGTGTCCATGTCACATATTGCTGAAATTCATGACAAGCTACTGCAGCTCTCAGGTCTATTAATAAACATGAAACAGAATCAAAGAACTCTCCTCTTATGCAAATTCCAGGGCCACCTGATGGTCCCAGTGTCTCCAGTGCCCTCTATCTGCACCCAACTTGAAGAAAAGTACCTAAAAGAGTGCATTTGCTCCTAATGCTGCAACTGCTTACTACGGCATGTAGTAAAGAAAAACAAAAAGCAAGAAGAAAGTATTCTAAAATAATTCCTAAAGCAAAAAGAAAGTATTTTAAATGGACTCCATCTCCTATCTTACAGCAAGTTACACAGTGAAACAGTATGTTGTGCTTAGCACCAATAATGAGCTGCAAAAATGATACTAAAAATTACT